GAAGAGCCGGGCAAGGGGTCCCCAGTTGCAGGCCATCGTCGCCACCGGGCACATGAGCATAATGCTCGCGCAAAGTTTTCAGAAAGGCGCTGAAGCGCCTGCTCCATAGTTTCCACTCGAGCCGCAGAGCGGCCCATGTCCTCAGAGCCCACCGGAGGATGGCGGGTTATGACTCGCACTGCTGCCTCAAGCCTGCGGGCTACCCCGCGCTGCTCGCCTGTCAAAGGAGCTCCAGCTGCTAACCAATTCGGGCATGTAGAAGGCGATGCCAGGTTATCCACAACAATGCGGCCACCACCAAATTGACTGCTTGCTGCTCAGCTCGGCGAGGCCGCGAGGCCCGCCCTCCAAGCCTCTTCTTGTAGACCTGAGGGTACGGCACCGGCATCGGGAAGGCAGAGGCGGTGGCAGGAGCTTCCTGCCCTGGTGTTTTTGAGACAATGCCAAGGAAAAAAATTGCAAAAGGGTGGCCTCTCCAAGTAACCACCTCGGCAAAGAAAGCCAGAGCGCTGAAACATCAACTGTGCTAGTTTCTGCGCCTGGCACACGCACGGCACGGTTGCCGGCACTAAGGGATTGAGGGTCAGTCAAAGGCGACCCATCGCGGGGGGAGCCCAACTTGTCGGCGGAGGCCTTGGCCTTCGCCTTGCCCTTGCCTTTTCCACCGCCCTGAGGCTTCGGCTTCTCCCCTTCGTCTGCCTCCTCCTTGGCAGTGTTGCCCGAACTCGAGCCCCTCTTGCCAAGCTTCTTTCGACGCTCCAAGTAGTCGTCGATGTCCTTGACTTGGCCCACCAAGGCGTCTACGGCCCTGCTGTCGAACAACCTCGTGAACGGAAGCTCGCTGCCGGTTGGAAGCTGACGGCCGGTGAAGCTCGCCATGGGGGCCGGCTCCTCGAGAAGCATTGGCTCTGCAATGGTCCAGCTGCCACGGTCCAAACTCAGCTGCTCTATGGCGGCTAACCCCACAAGCGCTCGAGCTAGGGCCTCGTCCTCCTTCTTGGTCTGGAGGCTGTCGATGATGCCTGGAAGAAGGGTAAGCCTGAATGCGGCTTCGGGTTTCGACCCAAGCTCGGGAGGTGACAGGAACCCGCTCTCCACCAGGCACAGCGCGGCGCAAGCCATAATCTTCGGCCATCTTTGCCAGGATGTTGTCCGACAACTCGCGCGGCCTTTCGTGTAAAGCCGCCCTCAAGGCTCTGACGACGGCCACATTCTTCTTCGTAGCGCTTGTAGTGCTTGAAGATTCGGCCGACCCAGACCCGTCGAGGATCTGGTCGAGAGTTGTCGGCTTCTTCTTGGCCTTTGCTAGGTCGGCAGCAATGGCGGTCAGCTTCGAAATCGCCACCGTCAGCTGGTCCATGCCGGCGCCGGATGGGGGCTCGACTTCGTCTTCCTCCTGGTCGGTCTCGTCGAGGATCAGGTCTCGTCGAGGCGGAGGAGGAAGTTGAACATCCTTGCTGCGTTCGCTGAGCTTTGGCTTGTTCTTCCCCACGAGGTTGGCCATCTCCTTCAAGTGGGCCTCCGGGATCCCGGCAGTCCGGGCGGCTTGCACAACTGCAGGGTCCAAGCCCACATAACTCTCGCCTCGCTCAGTCTCGACTCCTCGTCTTGGGGCCCGAATGGCGGATGGCCTTGTCTGGCTCGAGGTGACTCCATCCGCAGGCTGACGCGGTGGCAGGCGCGCGGCTATGTCGTCCAAGCTCGCCTTCACGGAGCCCAAGCATGATTCCAGATTTAACACCCTCGAAGACAAAGTGGCTCCAACTGGCTCCAGCTCAGGGGCCTCAGAAGGGGCCGGAGTCGGAGCGTCCACTGCACTATGGAAAGCGTAGCGCTCCTCAGCAACCGCCTGGAGGTCGGGGGGCGTAGGGAACGCAATCTTCAAGGCCTTCTCCAATGTCCTTGCCAAAGGGGATGGATATCTCGTAGTCGCCGTCACCGGCAGCTCGGAGCTCCAAAAACAAAGGCCAATCAGAGGCCAGCTTAAAAATCCACACCTTTGCTGCGACGTCCTCAACTTTCTCCTCGCGATTCTCTGGCCCCACCACAGCAACCTGGTAGGACTTCGGGTATTGGAGGGCACCTGTCGGCAGGCGCCGGCGTCCAGCCTGGCGGTTCCAAGCGGCTCCAGGAAAAGCAGCTACGACGGCTCCACCGTCACTTTCGCCAATCAAGGCCCCAGCGATCCACTCAGGCTCTCCCTCTTCGGCTCGACGGCGAGCCACAACCAAAGGGTAGTTGAAGTCAGGGCCTGCGCTCTGCACAACAAAGAGCTCGGCCAGGCCCGAAGGCTCGAGCTCTCCCCCAGTGTCCCCAGCCTCAGGCATTTCGAGGCCAGATCAGGTTTGCCGACGACACTGCAATCTGAGCTTCCTGAACGGTCGGGAAGCCCGCAAAGACAGAGTCACCAAGCTGATTGCCCGATCGGGAGACCAAAGGCTTGATGTCTCCCCAGCGATTGAAGACTCGGACTGGGTCGTAGATCTTGTCCTCAAAGTCGCGGACCAGAACGTAGACCCTGCTAGCCAGGTCCACCCTCTCTCTCCCGGAAAGGCCACGAGGCTGCCCCTGAAGGCAACGCCGAAAGAAGTGCCCAACACTCACCGCCGCCTCGCGCCTCGTATCGCTCAACTCGAGCGATCGGCGCGGCAAAGTTGGCCCCGCCGGTGCCGAAGAAGCGGTGGAGGTTTGCGGAGCAGCTGCCTCAGTCCGGGCTGGAGGCACAAAAGCTGAAGTCGCCGTAGGAGGAGTCGAGGACGTAGCTGCCTGAGCTCCAGCACCACGTTCAAGACGATCCACTCGCCCACGCAGATCCCGGTTTTCAAGCTCTAGCACCCGAACCCGCTCAGCAAGATCACGAATCTCACTGTCCAGGCTCCCCTGCCTAAAGGTCATGCACGGGATCTGCTCAAAGCCGAGGAAGCCCAGCGGTTTCGAAGGCTTATTGCCAGATGTTGCCGATACAAGTGCAACAAATCCAGCAAAGTAGCCAAAAGCAAGCCCAGCAGGACTCCAATGGCCAAGCCG